ATAGTTTGGAGTATTTTTTGCACCCAGGATACAAAGGCTTTTTAGAAGCCTCCAATAATGACTCAAACACGACACCTTCAACACCACGCACATCTCATCTACCCCTTTATCCTCGACCTCATCCACTTGATCATCCTCAAATCCATCCTCATCACCATTATCGATAATATATTCATCATTACTGTATTCCTCGTCCACACGAATCTCATTGCTTCTATCATGCACATCATTCCCATCAACATCCCCATTGTACTCTCCTTCTTCACCGTGCCAAATCCACACATGGTATATAAGCCTAAACCCACGACAAATTACATGATCTTTAATAATTTCAACACTATTGACCACCTTCACATTATTACAATCAACACAAGGACAATAGAGGCAACCGACACCCATTTTGCGCTGATAAGATGAAGCCCTCTCGCAAAACTCTTGAACCCCATGAAAGAGTTCCAATGTATCACGTCTACCATACATCCAACCATGATCCTTCTCCATTTAGTAAATTGTCTCTAAACATAGCAACATATTATGAATAATGTATAATTGCTACATATATTATATATGTAAATCAAATTCAACCACACACCATGCATATACCATTCACATAGTAAAAAAATGCATATATGCTTCCAAAGGGTCCTTATCACTCCAACCTAACCCATCCTTGAATGTCTAATCTCACTAGTGAATGTATGTCGACTTTCCAATTTTAAGGAACATCCGGCAGCATTTCCCCCAAGTTCTCCAAGTACACGATGTAGATAATTACTTACCCACATATGTACCTAGAGAACAGGGTGAGGAAACGGTAAGCCAAGATGTTCCTTAAAATCGAAAAAAGCATACATTCACCACCTAAGTGAGAGTAAACGTTCAAGAACAGTCCCAACCGGGGACTAGTCAAGACTTTCTCCTAATGAGAAAGCCTTGAGCGGGTATCTAGGCATATGATGATGCAAACATTTTGTATATTGTTGTATTTAGTTGTCATTAAACAATACACAAGCTGTAATAGCATGAAAAAACTTTTATTAGATGAATAAAGAGAAAGAAATATAGCTTAGTAAAGTGTATAATTCATACCAATATAACAAGTACAATGGATGTATTATTTCTAACTTCCCACTTGAGCTAAATATGTAGTTTTCAAGCTAAACTTGTGCTTCAATTCACATATGAATCTATAAAAAAACAAAAAGAAAAAACAAAACAAAAAACAAAAGTTAGTAGATATGAACTATCATATGTCAATTGAAAACTATGAACTATCAAAGTATCAATCTATCATGTCTATCAATTAATTAATAATCAACAACTCCACAAGTATTCAAATCCAACTATTCAACTAAATAACTAATTGCTCTAGTACTCTAATTCAATCAAATAATCAATTATTCAACAAGACAGCGATATACTTATCTAATAAAAGGTCGTCACTGTGATTTCGATAAATACAACAAGAACTAATCATGAATATAAATACATGCTTTAACACTTTCCTGTAACAAAGACATTGATTCATAAAATACACTTTAATGGCTTCGAACAAATAAAAAAAAATAAAAATGCATAAAATACCCATAAAAAATTTGCAAGCTTACAACAAGGCAATAACTCAGTTCACAGCAAGCTAGAAATATAATAGGCATTAAAGGAAACCGGAAAGGCAAGCTCACCAGACACTGTTCGAGGGGGAGCCTCCGTGACAAGAAGGCCGTTGTGGTTGAGGGGGAGCCGTGCGCGCTTCAATGACAAACCCTAGATTAAAAGAACCCTAAAATTACTAAACTGAAAGGCAAATCAACAACAAACCCTAGATTGCAAAGGAATTTGATAATTTAAAAAGGACTAAGAAAAAATCTTACCTCGAAGCTGCTTCAATGGAGGTGAGAAAGCTCGAAGCTGCTTCAATGGAGAATAAAGAGCACTACGAGCTTCAATGGAGGAGAGATATGGAGAGAGAAGAAGGTGCAGCGTGAGTAAAGCTCAGAAACCGCTTCAATGGAGAATAAGAAACTTTGGAGGTGGTGGAAGAGAAGGGCGAAAATTTGGGAGGGAAAACAGAAATAATGAAAAGCAGGGGGAAAGAAAGAAGAAGAAGAGGGAGCCCAATTTTAATTCCGCACCAATTTGAACCGGTGCTAAAACATTATTTTGCACCGGTTTGGTTTGAACCGGTGCGAAAACTCTTCCCCTCCCTTTTTTTTTTGATAATTCGCACTGGTTTGAACCGGTGCTAATAATATAATTTCGCACCGGTTTGGTTGGAAACGGTGCAAAAACTCTTTCCCTCAATCCCGCCTATTTTTTTTTGGCACCGGTTTTTAAAAGCTGTTGCGAAAAAGGCGGTGCTGATTTCAGTTTTTCTGCTAGTGAATTGCAAATAATAGATGGAAGCCTATTATTCGTGCTAGTCGTGATGGTCCAAGCCTCTCCAATCTATTTTTTGCAGGTGATATCATACTTTTTGCGGAAGCAAGTGTTAAACAAGCGGAGTTTATCCTATGTTGCATGTTGCATTGAAAGATTTTTTCGTGCTTCCGGCCAAAAAGTTAGTTTGGCGAAATCACGAGTCTACTTCTCGGCCAATGTTAATCTTGATTCTCAAAAATCAATTATTGAAGCTCTCCAAATGGAGTCCACGGATGACCTAGGGATATACCTAGGCATGCCGACACTTACAAGTAGAGTTACCGAAGAAACTTTTCAACATGTGTGAAAAAATTGACAGAAGATTGGTTAGTTGGAAGACTAAATACCTCTCGATGGCAGGGAGGATTACTCTTGCTAGATCAACTTTTTCCACCATGGCCCTATACTTGATGCAATCCGCTAAGATCCTAAGAAAAATTTGCAAGGAAATAGATAAAAAGATAAGGAAGTTCATTTGGGGTGGGCATGATGAAAAGCGTGTCATCCATCTTCTTTCTTGGGAAGTTTTACAACGACCTAAGGAGAAAGGAGGCATTGGAGTTTTCTTAGCAAAACAAGCAAATGCGGCTTTTCTTACCAAGTTGAGATGGAGGGTTTTATCTGAACCTAAGCTAATGCCCTATGGTCTCGGGTTCTACGAGCCAAATATTGTAAAGGTCGATGTGATTTTAATATGTTTGAGCCTAAAGTGGGTATGTCCAATGTATGGAGTGGAATTACGGAAAATTCTAAGTTCTTGAATGAAGGATTGAGAACAGCAATCGACAATGGTGCGAAGGCGTTATTTTGGGACCACAAATGGGTGACAAATGAACCACTTAGAAGCCTTGATACGCACCCTATTATTCCTGCCAAATTAGAAGGAGCAATTGTAGATGAAATGAGGGAAAACAGGGAAGGTTGGCACTGAAATGTTTTTGCACCGTTCCTTGATTAGAGCACTTTAAAGAAAATCCAAAGGTATGAGGTTAGATCTGACCCAAACATTGGGGATTTGGTTTACTAGAAAGATGGAGACAAAGGAAAATTCATAATTAAATCCGTGTTAAGCATCATGAAGCACGACATTGACATTCTTCATGAGGAATGTTTGGATGTGGTGGGGTCAGCCCCGGTTCAACAGAGAGTACGGGCATTTCTATGGCTAGTTTGTCATGATCGAGTGCTAAGTAACCAAAATCGCTTTAAACGTAAGCTCACAGATGACCCTAAATGTTACATTTGCGGGGCTGTTGAAGAGACTACACTTCATATACTCCGAGATTGCCCTGTTGCAAGGGTTGTTTGCCGGAAAACAGTGGATAACAACAACACGGGCAAGTAATTTCAAGGGGGTCTCAAAGAGTGGCTTAGTGAAAACGCTAGAGATTTGGCACCAGTGAATGAGGAGTCTTAGGCTACTTATTTTTGCATCTCGGTTTGGTGGATTTGGAGATGGAGAAATTATTTTGTCTTCGATCAATCGACGAAAAGAATTTTTTCGATTGACTTTGTAGAATTTTTACAGGTTAGATATGAGGAGGCTCGAAGAGCAATTTGGGAATCCTTAAGTGATGTGATTGCGAGGAAGAAGTATCGTATCCCAGCCAATAAAACCGCCAATATAACGTGGCACGCACCTCCTTATGACTGGTATGTTATTAATTGTGATGGAGTCACCAAAGGAAATCCAGGTCCGACGGGTGGTGAAGCCAATTAGAGATTACACTGGAAATCTAGTCACGACCGTCTCATTTGATTTTGGCCATTGCTCTACTTTCAGAGCAGAGGTGCTTGCTCTTACTAGAGGCCTTGAATTAGCTGGAAATCTGCAAATTGATAAACTTGAAGTGCAAATGGATAATGCGGCCTGTGTTCAAGCTCTCCAGAAACGAGATGCAGTGCGAGGCGAGTGCATACATGATATCAAATTATGCCAAAAGCTACTTAGTGACGATCTTTGGGAAGTTAAAGTCATCCATGTCTATAGGGAGAGCAATTGCGCGACGATTGATTGGCCAATTGCGGAGGACTCTCAATTAGTTTTCTTTTATAATGTTCCGACAGAACTAAGTCGTATCTTAGAGGAGGATATAAGGGGTGTGGCCATGCCTCGCCTCATTCCTCCATAGTTAGTTGCTTTCTTTCTATTTTCCTGCTTTCGATTTTTATTTTTCTTGTTTCACTGTTTTTCTTGGTTGTTTGTAACTTCATTTGGATCAAATATATATATATGTGTGTGTGTTTGTATATACATATATGTACATATATATATACACACACACATATATACACACACACATATATATATATATACACACACACAGACACACACATATATAAATATATATATATATATATATATATATATATATATGTACATATATACATATATATACATATATGTATATATGTACATATGTATATATGTATATATATATATATTAGGGGTTAGCACAGATCGGATATCTGATATCCGATATCCGAAAATTTCAAATCGGATAGCTCGTATATCCAATATCCGACTTTTTCAAATTATTGTTTAAAAATTCATTTAATGGCCAAATTAACTTTTTGTTAAGGAAAATTGATAAACATTGTACTTATATATTGAAATTGAGCTAAAATGAGAAGATCAAATAGACTAGAAATTTTTAAAATCCAATAACTAATTTCACCAATTTTAAAACAAAGAAATTTTACACATTGTCACAAATTACAGAACAAAAAAAAATTTAAAATAATTATCATTGAGAAGATAAGACGCCGCTGGTGGAGGCGTGGAGCGACGGTGAGTGTGAGGGAGTGGGTTTTCACATTGTCACAAGCGCCGCCGCAATGTCTCTAATAGCCAGTTCGTACGAAAAATTCATTTGGGGCTACAAACTTCGACAACCCAACCCCACCTCATCCGACCAAACCCTAACCCCAAACCCCCAATTCTCCTATGCTGCACACCTCTCCCCCATCAAATTCGTCCCCGTCTCCGGCATTGTCGCCGCCTCTTCAGCCGGTGACGACACCGTTAAACTCTACGACCTCTCTACATCCTCCGAACTCGACTCGCTCCTTCTCGAAACCTCTGTTACTTCTCTCTCCTTCTTCACCCCTCCTCTATCCTCCTTCCCTCGAAATCTCTTCGTCGCTGCCGACGATGGGTCCTTCTCGATTTTCGATGTCGACCCTTTTGTTCTTCTCAAGACGATCCAAGTTCATAAGAAGGGGATTAATCATTTATGTGTTCATCCTTCTGGGAAATTGGCTTTGACTGTTGGGAGAGATTCTTGCTTGGCGATGGTTAATTTTGTTAGAGGAAGGAGGAGTTTTATTTGTAGGTTAAAGAAGGAAGCTAATATTGTTGAGTATTGTTCTGGTGGGGGTAAATTTTTTATGGCTTATCATGAGAAAATTATGATTCATGATGCGATGATGGGCTGACCTGGTGTTGCAACTCGAGGGAAGTCGTCGTGGTTGCGGATGTTGATGGCGGTGTGGCTGGAGGAGGGTGGAGCGACGCGTGAGGATCAAGGGGGGAAGATGGGCAAGCCGTTGGTGGTTGGCTGGTTGCAGATGTTGATGGAGGTGAACTAAGGGAGATCTTAAAAAAGAATAGTCATTGAGATTCTAAGAGGAAAGAGAGGAGAGAGAAGATAGAGAATCAGATAAGAGAGAGGGGGGCGGTGGGGGGAGTTTTTGAGGGAATAATTAGGGTTAGTTGGTTTGGGCCTTTGTGGAGTAATTAGAGTAAGTCTTCACTAAAAAAGACTCCGTAAAAAATTAAGTGATTTTTTCGGATATCGGATATTTGAAATCCAAAATTTGAATATCCGATATCCGATTTTTTCGGATCGAATATCCGATCCGAAATCAAATTCGGAGCGAATATCCATAATTTTCGGATCGAATGCGGATCGGATCATCAGATTTTCGGATTTTCAAATAGTTTTGCTCAGCCCTAATATATAAATTTTCATTTCTTCCTACTTACATGTGTCCATTATAATTGGACTTGTGATTTTTGATAAAAATATATACGTATACTTTTGTATTATGTTATTCTACCATTTGAAATATTTTTAATTTTAGGAAATTTTGACTTTTACCACCTCTAAATAACCACTTATTGGTTTTTACCACCATAAAAAAAAGTTTTATTTTACCACCACATAAAAAAATTAAAGTTGGCTTTTACCACCAATCACCCCTAACTAACAGATTCCGTCTATAAATCCGTTAATGAGGCCTACCATGTACACGTGTCACCATATTATTGGGTGTAAAAAAAGGAAAATAAATAAAAATAAAAAATTAATAAAATCAAAACCATCCAAGCCAGCCACCGTCGCCGGCACCCTTTCCGTAGCCCCCATCGCCGGACCAGCTCCCAAGTGCCCACATAGCCGGTCCGTTTCCGGCAACCCCCTTCCCCTCCTTTCTAGAAGCCCCTCTTCCCCTCTGTTTTCGGCGGCCTCTCCTCCTTCTCTTCCCCTTCCTTTTTATGACCACCGACCTCGCCTCCCCCTTCTCCTCCCTTTTCTGACCTCAAACTTCGATCGCCTTCTCCTTCCGACCCCCTCCCACTGAATTTCGACCCCAACTCGCCCTATCCCCAACACCGGGTTCCGACCCCTTTTCCACCTACCGAATTCTAAACACTCCTAAAACCCTAGCCACCACCAAATTTCGACCTCCTCCCTAGCCACCACCTATTTCCAACCCCCTCCCTAGCCACCACCAAATTTTGACCCCTCCATAGCCCCACATGAAATTCCGACCAACCGAGGTGGGTTTAATTTCATTCCCTACTGATTGGCATGGAAGATTGGGGGAGATGAAGAGGAAATGTCAAAAAGATGGGCCCTACTAACGGATTCATGGACGGAATCTATTAGTTGATGGTAAAACCCAATTTTTGGAAATTTTGTTGGTGGTAAAATACAACTTTTTTTATGGAGGTGGTAAAAGCCAATAAGTGATTTTTTCATGGTGGTGGAAGTCAAAATTTCCTTAATTATATATAGATGGAATTAATATATTTTATATAGTATATAAGTAGGTGTTAAAATAGATAATGCGACCTGTGTTCAAGCTCTCCAGAAACAAGATGAAGTGCGAGGCAAGTGCATACATGATATCAAATTATGCCAGAAGCTACTTATTAGTGATGATCGTTGGGAAGTTAAAGTCATCCATGTCTATAGAGAGGGCAATCGCGCGGTGGATTGGTTGGCCAACCGCGGAGTCATTCAGGACTCTCACTTAGTTTTATTTTATAATGCTCCGGCAGAACTTAGTCGTATCTTAGAGGAGAATATAAGGGGTGTAGCCATGCCTCGCCTCGTTCCTGTGTAGTAATTAGTTGCTTTTTTTTTTTTTTTTTCTATTTTCCTGCTTTCAGTTTTTATTTTTCTTGTTTCTCTGTTTTTATTGGTTATTGTTTGTAACCTCATTTGGATAAAAAAAAAAGTATGCTTTCATTTCTACCTACTTACATATTTCCATTATAGTTGGACTTGTGATTTTTTATACAAATATATATGTATACTTTTGTATTGTGTTATTCTACTATTTGAAATATTTTTAATTTTATATTGATGGAATTAATATATTTTTAATAGTATATAAGTAGTGCGTGAAAATATATTTGTAAAGTCTGACCCTGACCTTGAAAGGTAATAAACTTTTCCAAACAGGAAAATCATTTATTTGAAATTTGTAGATGGACAATCCAAAATTAATTCATCTTCTAAACGAGTTATCACCACCTTCTGTCTTTCACCCAAAAGTCTGCACTACGTTGCTATATAAACAATTGATCATTGAAAAGTGAAGGATCGAATAAATGGTATAAAGAAATAATGACTTCAATTTAACACTTTAAATAAAATTAGCTCCAGGAAAAAAAAAATACTTTCAATTTCAGACTATCTATAATGAAGATATTTCTTACATAGTATTGGGAAGAAGTGAAGATGTGCGAAATTGGGAAGAAGTGCACATCTCTTGTACAGAATTAGAAACTTGGAGTCTTTACTCTGACATAAATGCTATGTGAAATAGGAAATAATAAATCTTCATTTGTAAGACATACACAAGTTATTAGTCCGTTAATATAACGGAAGCTTATATTGCTGGATAATTGATATTGAGCAATTCGGGTCAAAATCTGATGAAGCCAAGAGATCACCCATGTTGCCAAGTTTCGGGTATTCTTCCCAATCACTCATGCTAGTAGAGTAGTAGTTATGCATGGGTGAATTGCATACGACGTCCCCCATAACCAACTACGAAAAATTGGTACATATCTACTCCGTATAATGTCTCTTTGGGCAGTTGCTTTTTGGGCTTCATTCTTCACACGCTTCTCTATGTACGCCACATGAACGGAAGTTACATACCTAATAACCAATCATGCCAAAATATATATAATCAATGACCTTTACCCTTTAATTTGCATGTCTTCATATGGGTCTTATTAAAAGCATGTCTTCATATGGGTTTTCTTAAAAAGGTGTGTGTGTGTGAGGGTATAGAGGTGTCAAAATTGAACTGATTCGAACCTATTCGAAAAAAATCATCCATTTCGAATTGTAATTGACCTGAACTTAATCAGAATCCGAATTTAACCCGATATAAACTTAACTCAGCACTAATTTGACCCGGCTTGAACTCTACCCGAACCCGATATGACCCGACTTGAACTAAAACTGAACCAATTTGACCCGACTTGAACTCAACCCGATCCGAAAATGACCCGACAAATAACCGATTCAATCCGATCTGTTTTAACCGGAACTGATATTAACCCTACCCGATTTTAAACTAATCCGATTTTAACCCGATCCGATTTTAACCCGGACATAATTTTTAAACCTAACCTATTATTGACCCTTGTTTTTTTCAAGTTCTTATACTGCTATATATTTACAAATTTACTAATTATTAATAAGTTAGAAAGTTTAAAACTCTAATAAATATCTTGTACAAATGAATTAGTAATAAAGCAAACTAATAGTATAGTACTTGAAGCCTCATGAGATTAAACAATTGAAGAGTAGTACCTTAAAAAGAGGACATTCTTTTTTGTATATCACCATATGTGACTATCATCTATTAATCGTTCATTACTAATCGTCTCACTTATATACTTAGGTATGATAAGTCATCGATAATTATTCACTTTAAATTTGGCTCCAAGATAACTATTACACAAGAATTGATTGAATGAGAAAACTAATTCTTGGCATTCGTAATAATTAACCACGCAATATGAGAAATGACACATGAATGACTTGATAAGTTGATATCGACCCAATAATAAGGTAAACATTCAATACTTACTCTAGTTTAAAAATGACCTTATTTGGATATTGAATTTGGTCAACTTGACCAAAATCTAGACAAATACGGAAAGAATTTGAATCGAAATTGATCAAATACTGAATCAACCTTATCTTAATCAAATCGAACTTGACCGAACCGAAATCAACCTGTCCCAAATTCATCCAACCCAAAATTAACCCGGTCAAACCCGTTTCGAATGCTATTTGAATTTATCCGAACCGAACATGAACCGATATGGAGTTGACCCGACCCATATCCGACCCGGACTCGATAGACCGTGACCCGGATTTGACCCGACCCGATCTGAGTTAAAAGAATAATTTTGACCCGAACATATCCGACCAGAACAGACTCGACCCGAATAGACCCGACCCAAACTCCATCCGCTTATTCGAATGGACACCTCTAGGAGGGAGTATGGTTTTGATGTTTAATAATGAGTTTTTATAGTCAAAGTTTTATAAAGTTGACCATTAAAGTTAAAAAAAGATAGGTTGGAGTATTTATTCATATTTAAGGTCAAATTATGTTATTCTGAACTTATTTTTTAACCTGATATAGTTTGATGATATGATTATCTGATTAGAATAAGCTATAACTGTAATTGTACGTCATAGTATAAGAAAAAACATTAATTATCAATTGGGATCTTGTTAGCTTGCATAGTTCAAATACAAAATTTTCATAATTTTTACAATCATGAAATTAAAAATATATGGCAATAAATAGACGGAATTAAGAAAATATGATCTCGTTTGGTCTGAATTTTTTTAATCTAGTTTGACTTTAATTAGCAAGAATAAATAATACGTAATCTCTATTTTATAAGCCAACTGACTAGGGGATGTTGTGAAAAGATATTAGTACCCCTCTTGGCTTATAACACAGTAGTGAATATAAAGGACAAAAAAAAAAAACCACATCATCTATCTATATATCTATATATTATACTAAAGACAAGCGTTTTAATGTGAGAGTGACAAATGTCTCTTTATTATTCGTTGTCTTCTATTAATTTTTTATTATTATACATTTATGTTTCCATATATATATATATATATATATATATATATATATATATATATATATATAAATATAAAAGAATATTCTAAATATCTTATTCTAAATAACTACATAAACTATCATAGTAAAGTCTATTATAGTAAAGTTTAGCAATACTATTTCTCAAATAAAAAGAAATTGTTAGAATTGTATTTTGGAAAATAGCCTTTGTCAATAGCGTACTAGCATAGAGTGATATTTCTTTGCTCATAATGTAATCAATTACTATAATAGATGGTCAGAGCATCTATTATAGTAAAGTCTAGTAACATCATTGTGACATAATTAGCAAAGGAAAGCATTATATTTAGGATTACATGATACGAGCATAATGGTCAGAGCATCTATTATATTAAAGTCTAGCAATCTTACTTCTCAAATAAAAAAAAAAGTCTAGCA